CAGGACAAGAACTCAGGAGGGCCCAGTCCTGCCAGGGTTGCGCTATTGGGATCTTCTCCCAGGGCCTCCAGGGAGAGAGTCCAGAACTGGGAGCTCTTCCCTATGGGAAGTCTGTCTGTCCTGGAAGGCCATGCGTGCATGTATGCATGTGTGTGCCTATACATGTGTTTGTGTGCACACACATGTGCATGCTCGGGGGGTTCCTTCCCACCCTCTAGTCTTGTTGGGTCTTGTGCCCCCGCACCCCTGCCCCCCCATGCCTGTCCAGGCCCTCGCCCATTCATGGCCCCGCTGCCAGCCGCCAGCCCCAGCCGTCTGTTGTGGCAGATGTTTGGCTGTGCCATGGCAACACTAGAACAGGATGTACCTCTGGATTGCAGCAGGGACAAGCCCACGCTCCCAGGCCTCCCTCGCCTTCCCCTTCCCAAAGGCTTGTTGGGTAGAACTGCTGGGGTCCAGGTCAGGGACAAATGGTGTTTAGCTGGGAGAGAGGCAGAGCCAGCACCCTCCTTGGGGTCAGTGGCAGGGGAGGGAGAAGACACCCAGGCACATCCCAGCTGAGTTCTTCCCAGTCCAAGGAGCTTGTGTTTGCTCCCCTCTGTCGCTGAGCAATGATTTTAAGGGAGCGAATGGGAATGGAGGCTGGCAGGCCACAGGGCTGGTCTGTGGGCGTGACCTATGTCTTTTCCATTATAATGGCAGCTACTCAACGAGGGATTGCTCTGGGCCAGGACCTGTACTATTTTATAAGGCAAATAATATATAATTTCAGGGGTATTTACTCTGTGCTAATTACACAGTGCTAATCTTTACAGTACTCTGAGGACATTCTTATTTTTCAAAGGAGGTAACTGAGGCAACAGAGAGGTTAAGGCGCTTGCTCCAGGTCACAGAATGGATGAGTTAAGGAGCAAGATCCAGGGCTGTCTTGCTCCAAAGCCGTTGACCAATGTGATGACGGTGCCAGGACCAGCTACATAATTGGCGGGCCCAGTGCAAGGTGAAGAGGCCCGGCGCTTGTGAAAGAATTGTTAGAAATATTAAGATGGGCACCACAGAGCATTAGACCAATTGTACAGGCTTATAAGGGTGGAGTCCTGTGCTGCTGCCTACGAGGGCAGCCCTGGATGCTGTCGCGCTGTGCGGTTCCACTGCCAGCCCCCCAAGTGCTTGAAGAGCGGGCACGGGCAGCCTGGGGAAGCTTACAGCTCACAGTGGGGAGCCTGCCTGGCACCGCGGAGCCACAGAGACCTGAGAGCAATCCCTTGGTTGGAGGGAACCCATGCCACCGACAGAGGGGAGAAAAGATCCTTCCGCCACAGCGCTCTGCTGAATGTCCTAGAACCACAAGCCTGGGGGCTTAGAGTGCAGATTTTAGCTTAATACAGAAGCCTCCTTCTTATTTTTTTTAATCCTCACCTGAGGATATGTTTATTAATGTTGGAGAGAGAGAAACATCGATTGCTTGCTTCCTGTACATGCCATGACGGAAACTGAACCTGCAACCTAGGTATGTGCCCTGACTGGGGATTGAACCCGCACTGTTTTTGGTGTATGGATGACGCTCCAATCAACTGATCCACTTGGCCAGGGCCAAAAACCTCCTTTTATTAAGTCTTTAAATTTTCATTTTTTTATTATAAAGGCAACATCATTCTGTTGCAGACATTTTTGGAAGAGATAAAAGGAGAAAAAAAGCATAAACCTTTATTTCCATCTGTCTCACCCCATTGCTGTTAGCAGGTGGTGTGCATTTTCTTCCTTTTGTAGAAGGGCTTTCCAACAGGACCCCAGGGATGAAACAGACGTCTCCACTTTGTCCCCAGAGCCTGACATGTGCCAGGGGCATCAGGAATAGGGGAGAAAATCCCGGAATGGATGGATGTTATAAAGGGACTCGGCTTGGATGACCTTTGAGATTCTTCTGGTCTCTGAGAAACTCAGGATTCTTAGATTCACAGCAAATTCCTGGCGTTGACCTGGGGTTCAGTCCAAAGTGCCAAGAGCCCTGGCTGGGGTCCTGGAGGTGACTGCAACACAGCCTCTGCCCCTGAGGAACTCAGTTCGGGCTGTCATGCGTGTTCCCAAACTTGCCCAGCCTTGCTGAATAAACCTGGGACTTGTTTTTACAACACATTTCATTCATTCACTCTCATCAAACATTTATTAAGTACCCACTACATGCTAATGATTGCGCTAAGTACGTTAGGACTATTTTCTCTGGGGAAAAGATGATGACGCAGAAAGCAGATGAATTTGGAGTCAGACACCCTGGGTCCCTGACCCTTCCTGGCTGTGTGGCCCTGACCCATGTTACCTAACCTCTCTGGGCTTCCACCTTTTTGTAAAACAAGGTGATATCTCACTGTGAGGATCAACTCGGCAATGCATGTGGAAGATGCTCAGTGTATGCTGCTACCTTTCTGCCTCCCTCTCCTCCATCCCTCCTGCCAGTACCAACAATAGCACGTTTGGTGTGCCAGGCAGAAGGGAGTTTGCATACATTATCAACTAATTCTCAAATTATTGGCCCCATGAGCCGGGTAGCATCATCACCAACCCATTTGACATCCAATTTAAAACCCAGAGGGAGCTCCCACCTCCAACAAACCACTTGCATGAGAATTGAGAATTCGTCTCTTAATGTCCCCTCCCCCGCCCCTCACACATCCTCTTCTGTGCGGTGGGAGGCCGCTCATGGAAACGCCAACATTTTCTTTGTGGAAACAGTTTATAGGAAAAGGAATTTCAGGCTGAGGCAGGATCTTTCACGGTATATTGGAGGAGACAAGAGCAGTTTCCCTTTAAAAGGCAAAACATGGTGAATACAAGTTGGGGGAGGGGAACACACCTTGGGCCGCCCAGGTAGCCTTTGAGCAGACACGTGGGTCGGATTCCCCAGGAGGCTTCATTTCAGCCGCCTGTGAGATCGAGATGCAGTTTCAGCTTGCTTCTTTCTCCTTCTGGGGCGGGGCACTGCTGGGGAAAGGTTTCAGGTGGGGGTGGGGCAATGCCTGTCCGGCTCCACCAAGTTGGAGATGTAACCTTGGGCAAAGGACGGACACGCTGCAGACCTGTTTCTTCATCTGTCAGCTGAGGATAATGTCAATAGGGCCGCTTAGAGGACCCAAGGTAAAGGAATTTCTTATGCAAAGTGCTGGGCACAGGAAGGGGCAGAAGGGTATCCTGCTCCCTGGGGTTAGGGTGTGCCGAGCCGGGCAGTGTTTTCTGGGCAGGCCTCACTTGGCACACACCTCCTGTGGGAAGGGCTTTCCCACCAGCAAGTAAATCCTCCTGAAATGCAGTCACCCTCCAAGCTCTGCCTGCTGGAGCCTCTTCCAAGCCTCTTGCCAAGAGGGGCTCCCCCAGGGGTCAACACAAGCAAATGTGCACCCCCCACAAAACCGGATCTGGGAGTGTGATCTGGGATCGCTGCAACCTCAGGATTGCTACTCGGTGGAGGAAATCAGGGTAGAAACAGCCAGTTCTAGGTCGTTCTCCTAGGGCCCTGGGTCAACGAGCATCTGATGAGCTTTGGGAACACCCATATCCTGCGAGGGTGATGTGGGTGTTGTCTCCCGAAAGCACGTGTGGAATGTGACTGTAACGAGTGAAGTGGAAGCCTGCTGCATTGCATCACATTCTTATTTCAATCAATGGCTTCTAAACTGGGCCATGCGAATTCCCAGGGAACTCATTGGAAACACCCCGGGCTCTGATTCGTCCTTGGAGCCTGAAAAGAATTTACTATGTGTGTCCAGCCTTGCCAAGGAACAGTGTCCCGAACCGTGACCCTCAGAGGTTGTTTAGAAAACATCTTACAGAGAAGGCTGTGTTACAGCTTGACAGCACCAACCATTACAATCAGCCCACTGACCGACCGCTTGGATTTCATCCTCAGTAAGCTATTACGGACCATAATTTGACTGCACATGTAGACTTATCTAGGACTCACTGTGCTAATTGGCAAGTGAGAGTACCCTGGCCTGCTCCACACCTATAATTCTTGCTGTAAAGTAATAAACCTGCATTCCAGTTTATCCATCAGTCTCCTCTGAGTCCAGGTAAGAGAGAAGTCTAGGTGAAGTATTTGCTGGGCCTGCAGGCACTGGGATTTACTGGTCACTGAAGGAACTTGTGGCGGACAGACAGCACTCAGCCCCTGGCAGTTGGGTGGGGCCGTGAGGCAGGCCCTGCCCACTGGACAGGAGCCGACGTGAGGTTTCGGGCAGCCAGCCAAAGGCAAAGGCAGTGACGCGTGAGCGGGAGTCCTCATGCTCTTTCCCCTGACCGCGCAGCCAGAAGCAAAGAGCTCCAAGAAGGCAGGATTTTAAGTGGAAGCACCGCAGCTTTGCTAGTCACCAAGGGACAACCACTGAAAGGCCCTGACCTGCAGTGGATTGAGACCTGAGTGCGAAATAAGCCTTTGCTGGGGCCTCCTCAGGAGTCCCACCCTGGCCCTTAGCGGTGATCACCTCCACAGGCCCCTCTCCCGGGAACTGCAGTGCCTGTCGCTTAGGTGCTTCTCCCCAGCACAGCTCTAGCTCCACATTTTCCGCCTCTGTAAGGAGAGAGACCACCCAAAGCCCAAGTACCGCTCCTCCGCCGGGGACAGTTTTTTTTGCATACAAATGGCTCCCCACAAGTTAGCCTGCTCTTCCTCGCTGGCAAAATCAGGGGAAAAGCATATCCCTGGAGGAGCTATTTCTTCCCCTGGGACTAAGCTGTCCAGGATTTTAGCAGGGGGCCCAGTACACAGGAGGTGCTCAATAAAGATCAGCCATCATGGTGAAGAAGATGCATCCGACCGTCTAGGCAGGGGCTGAAGAGGTGGTTTCCTTTTGCACAAGTTCACACGTCTTCAGACATTTGTAAAGAAAGTTTATTTTCATCACAAGAAGCACACAGACTATATATACAGTACACACCAACAGAAGTAAAAAAAAAAGTGCATTATGCATCTTCTACTGCAAATTCACAGTACAAAAGATACTGCCTTTTAAATATATACTATAAAAAAACAAGAAAAAACAATATAATAAAAAAAATTGATATTATTACGCAACACACCAGAACCCACCTGCAGCTTCTGAAAACCAAAGGGCAACCCATCTTGTGGAGCTCCTGATGTGGGGGGAGGGTTCTGTACCTGCATTTGGTTGCACAGAGCTCAGGACACCAACGAAGAAGAAAACGGGGCAGGGGGGGCCCAGGTGGTGATAAAAATCTCTACTGAAGAGCGCAACTGTGCGATGGGGCGGAGGGCTGGGTGCAGTCTATGGGGCTGGGCCTGCGCGCCCCACCCCCCCCAAGCTGGCTGGCACACCAAGGTCAGTCCCTCCTTGCTGCTATGGGTCACAGCGTGGGCCAGTGCCCGCCCGCCTGCAGGAACTCCCAGAGCCGTTTCTAGCAATGCTCCTTGGACAGCTGTGGGTGCGTGCGCAAGACTGCACAGCAGATGAGCACAGGCATGGGACAGGGCAAGCCCCGGCCCTAGCGCCAGCCGCCACGGACAAGGCAAAGTATCCAATCACAGAAGGTGAGAGCTTAAGTTTCCCATAAATACACAGTATTTGTAAACTATTATTAAGGCACTCCATTGTAAAACAATAATTACAGTGTCGGAAAAGAGGGAGGAAGCAGCCACCTTCCTGTGCAGCACAGCTGACAGAGGGGACAGCAGAGGACTGGTGGTCTGGTTATAAAGACTCCTGTTTAAGAGACTGACTGAAGCCAGGGCTGCAGCACCTCCTCCAAGGCCAAACAAGGCAGTCGAGTCTCAATCTGACCAGGCCAGCACTCCACACCGTCACTCTAGATCGTCCCAGGTGATCCGCTTCGCCGCCTGGTGACAGTGTGTGTGTGAATGAGAGGTGATGCCCATGGTGATATGATTCAAGTTTTATATATATATATATATATTCAAATATATATATGCAGAGTGAACTCACGCAGGTGATCAATTGCAGAGCAGAAAATAAAAAGGACCAAGGGCTGAGCAGGGGGGTCAATCAACCACCTTCCTCCGGCATGCTGCGTCGGCAAGAACCTGCAGGGCGGGACCAGAGCAGGTGACCCTGCACCGCACTGTCCAGATGCCACTGTTTTCCCAGCCAGCCTGCCTCTCTGGCCAGGGGCAAGTGGTTGCCCTCACTGCGCTGTGTGTGCCTGGCCAGCCGTGCTTGGTGGCAAGCCAGAGTAGGGGTGGGTGGCTGACAAGCATTGCCGCCAGCAGAGAGCAAGTCCCCCTTGGGACGTCTAGAAGGAGGTCACTTATATGATCTTGACTAAAGGATGCAGCGTTTGTTCCCAATGGGGAGAAAAGGCCCCGGGAAGCACGGGGATTCATCAACCGAGGATGGGGCTTGTGTAGAGGAACATCAGTGCCAAAGTACAGGGTTGCCTGGAAGGTGTTCCTTCTGTTGCAAACTGGGCTCCATCCTGGGGCATCCTCTGAGCTTATCTACCCGGGAGGGAAAGAGCTTTAGAATGGGATGCAGCGCTTTTCAGCTGCAGAGAGCAGGGTGGGGCAGAGAGGCTGGACAGCGCAGCCATCTGAGCACCTGGTGAGTGATCTGCATACCAGGTGGCCAGGCGCCACTACCTGGCAGAGAGCTGTCACCAGCCCAGAGGTTGGCCTGGGTCCCCACGCTGACACCAAGAAGACAGGGAATTCCACGAGTAAGAACCTTGTTCTTAAGCAGCTCAGGCAACAACAGACATTGCCCCATGACACAGAAATGGAAACTGACATTGCCAAAGCATGATCAGAGAGCAGCACGCTTTCCCCTCGCTCCAGGACCAGCTTCCCACTTACACGCGACAGACCTTGACCTTTCTGTGGCAGTGCCACATGAAGGTCTGGGTCAGTCTCCCTTTCGGCATGCCAGAGGAACAGGAGTGAGGGAAAGGTGAGGTGGAAGATGAGATGCAGCTATAGTATCAAGCTGATTTAGAACATTTTTGTTCTCTCCTAACTTGACAAAGGCGTTCCACGAACACGGTCGTCACTGATGTCAATGACTTTCAGGGCGCACACCCCCGCCTCTCGCTTGTGCCACTCATCTTAGGAATTTCCCCCCTCGTCTAAGATTATAAACGGAACATTGGTCAGGCTGTGGCGCATCTTACGGAGCAAACCTTCTCTTCTGAGAGCAGCATGAACCTCTTTGCCAAGGCGCCCTCAGCCTGGCAGGATGCTCTTGTCAGTAGACTTCAAATAGCAATTTGCCATATGTTAATGTGCAGCTGATCTGTGGCTCGGAAAAAAAGGCTTTATCCTTTTCTCAGTCTGTCCACCGAGCCAAGAAGGCTTCGTTTTGCTCTCATGATGGGCCCCTGGGCCCTGGTCTGTTTCGATGGTAATATACCAACTGTGCTTCTGAAAACGCATAGATGATTTTGACAAAAGCCAAAAACCCACTCAGATTTGTCATCCTCTTCCCACCCTTTAACTGGATAAAAAAATTATGGCTTTCAAAATTAAAGTTTTCAAAAATATATCATTCTCATGCATAGGCATGGTTTAAAAAAAGCAAAAACATAAGCCTGTCATCACCAAATCTAAAGGATTATTTTGACACAAAAATTGATCTGCCACATGAAATTTAATTTGGCAAAACATATTGAACTTGATTTTTTCTTTTTTTTTAAGAATATGCTTTTGTTGGCTGAGAGAGAGGGAGAAAAACCTAACAGGGTTTTCAGGAAAAGTGAGTAATCCCCGTTTAATGTGATTTCAATGAACAGTGGTGGGAAGACAAACTCTTATAAAGTAAAATAACATATATGTTTAAAAACTAAAAGGATCAGGTCAGGGAGAAAAAGTTCTTGGAGGGAGGGGTTTTTGCAAAAAGCCCTCACACGAGCTGAAACATGTCCCCAAAGACCCTGCCTGGGCCCTGTCCGGAATGGCGGCTGCCGGGCTCCCTGCTCCAACTAATGTAAGATGGCAACTCACTCACCCACTTTCAGAATTCGGTCAGTCCCTGAAGGCTTTCTGGTTTCACTGACTTCATCTGGCTGGCCCAGCTGAGAGCGAGCGGTCCCTGCGGGTAAGCTTCAGGGCCCCTGGCCGGCAGGGACAGAGCCGGCCGCCCTGCAGGGGACAGCCCGCGGTGGGCTGGCAAGGTCAGGGTTGAGGGGATGGATTCGGCCTGAGGTGCCAAGGGGCAGGGAGGCCTTCACGCTTGCCCAGAGTCTTCCGAGAGGGCCCTGGACAGCCCAGTGCTGCCCAGTAAGAGCAGGGGTCAGCAAACTTTCTCTACACAGGGCTTGATAATAAACATCTTCGGCTTTGCAGGCTACCTGGTCTTTGCTGCCTACTAGTTTATTTTCTTATAACCCCTGAAAGCTGTAAAAACCATTCTTAGCTCATGAGACCATATACCACAGTTTGCTGACCCATGAGTTAAACCTTTCTAATCAAGCCCCTTCTCTTTTCTCAAAATATTTTAACATCCTGTCTTGCTGACTGACACCAGACCACCCCCCACTCGAGCCCAGAGCCTGCGGCAGCAGAAGGCACTGAGCTCACCTGATTCTAACGGGGCTCTTCACAGAGCCTGGCTGGGGCCAAGACCCTGTTGCACCCCATCTTCGCCACGAGGAACAGCCCGAGAGAAACAGGCTGCAGCATTCTCTGCACGAAAAGGGGCAACGGTAAACTTCTGCGAAGCTCTCCAACAGCTGCAGTTCTTTCAGAGAAGCCTCTGCTCGGTTGCTCTGCAAGAGGAACAGGTAATTCCTCACTACTCGATTTTTCTTTTCCTCCTCAAATACGAGTAGATGTGACCGAGTGAACTTGAGTGCCGGGGCTTCTGGCAGGACAAGCTGCATCTCAGGACCGCTGTCCCCAGCTGGTACTTTCAAAACTCTTCACAGCTACTGGGCTCAGCAGCAGAGGAATCTCCACAATGCTCTGTGGGTCCTTGTCCCCATGTGGTGGCGGGCGGGGGTGGGGGGGCAGTATTTAAAATCCACCATGCACAACTGAGGACGTTGCGCACATCTCCCTCCACCAGACCTCAGCGCGGGCCAGACACACATCACTCAGCTGTAACAACGCACGGGACAGAGAAGTCACCTGCACAGATGATCTCCATGGACCACAGAGTTGATTCAACAGCATTTGACACCTTTGTATATCTTTACCGAGCAGTGCTCAGTGTAGTCGAGTTAGAAATCCTAACGCTTTTGGGGGTCCCAGACAATCCAAAAAACTCCTTTTTGGAAAACCTGTTTCTGACACAGCATTATTCCCTGGAACAAGCCTTGCTTATCACTGTATTTGAAAAATAAAAAGTTCAGCAAGAACAGAGGTAGGACTTATATTGCCATCCAAGACTTTTCCCACGAGGGCCTGAATGAGTGAGGAATGCGTGCCGCGGCGCTGAGGCTGTCGCCGTAACTGTTCTTTCACGTGGCGCAAATAGTGTGCTTTTGACGTATGTGCCTATCTGTGTACGTTCTTCTTCAGACACGACTCTTCTGGACAACACACGACTTGGCCTCAGAGCCTGCTGGCTGCCAGCTTCTGGTTCTCCCAGCCGCACAACGGACACTCCTCTTCTTCTTCTTGGGCTGCGTGTTTCTTTCTTCTCCTCCCCTCTGGCAAGAGGTGGGGGGAAAAGATGGAACGCCATTGTTTAAGAGAAGTCAAGATGTGAGGGGCTGACCAAAACCCACAGTGAAACTAAGGGAAGGGTTGTGTGATGAGCTACAGGTGGGTCAGCTTTTGCTCAGCCGCGAGGGGCTTTTCAAGCTTTCCGGGGCAGATTTCCCTGACGGTTTAGAGGTGGCGGCTGTGTGCCCTGGGGTTGCCTGGGGCTCATGCAGGAAGGAAGCCTCGCTCAGCCTGGCATCCTGGGAGTCAGCAACGGTGGACACGTCGGCCTCACTGGCCAGGTCTTCTGTCGAGAAGTTGAGACTTCCGAGCTTGGCAAGAGAGTGTGAACGCTTGAGTGGGGACGAGACGGTGAGGCCCGCCAGCCGGAGCCGAGTCTCAATCTCCTGCGTCCGCTGTTTCACCAGCCCCGGCTTCCCGCGGACGCTGTGGATGCTGTCGCTGCTCGAGCTCCGGGTCAGGTTGGAGCTCATGGAGGATGAGGTGGGCGTGTAGCAGATAGTCTTCAGAAAGTCTTTCGAGAAATGACTGGTGTGATCCAGACGGCAGAGGAAGGGGGTGGGACTCCTTAGCGAGGTTCCTTCCAACGGAACTGGGGTAGCCTCTGGCTTCTCATCACTCCCATCTTGGCCAGGCAACGCCAGGGCCCCTGGTGGAGGGACAGGAGCTAGGTCCTGGGTCTCCTCGGGGATGCTGGCCTCCAGCCTGCTGGTGCCGTCCCTGAAGGGGGACAACGGCTCTGCAGGCGTGCCCTTTAGCCTCTCTAGTTCTTTGGTGTGCTTGCGGACCAAGCCTGCCCTCTGCAGCTGGATGATGGACTCCTGGTGCTGCATCAGGTAGCTGTGTGTAGTTGGCTTCTCAGCTTCTTTGCTGAACAGAAGCCGCAGGTCCTTGGCCGGCTTCATGTCTTTCTTGGGTGGCGATTCTTCCTTCACTACCTCCATGCTGGGTGGGGTCTTGTCACAGTGAGAATTCTTCAAAAGGAGGGACTTTGGCAGGACTTTCTGGGTCTCTCTGGAAGGTTCCAAAAGGCTGGCTGTTAGTTCTGGCTCAGCCCCGGCCACAGGGCCACCGGTGTCCGGCCTCCCTGGACTTGCTGGTGGTAGGAACGGGGGCGCTTCGGCCGGGCCGGCCGCCAGCTTCTCCAGAACGCGGGACCTGATGGTTGTGTGGGCCACGGGGGACGAGGTGAGGTGGGGCAGGAAGGCTGGCTGGGTGCAGATGGCGGGGGTACCAGGGTTCCCGCTGCGTCGCTCCCTGAAGGCCTCAGGAGCCCCGCTGGCTGCAGGGTACATGCATTCGGCGCAGGATTTGTAGGAAGGCTTCACTTTGTTGAGGATCCCAAATAGAGCATCGTGCTGGAACGGGACAAGAACGTCATGAGAGTGGAATACAAGCCCAAAACCACAAAATATGCAGAGGGCACGGGGTGGGCTGGGGCGCGCGCTGGTGGGGCAGCACTCTCACGTCAGTGAGTGCAGAACAGAGGCCTGTCAGAACCCACTTGACCGTTAAGAGGTAGGTTGGAGATACTGGACCAAACTTTCCAGAAGCTGCATGCCCACGGTCCTGGGCAAACCTCCGGCCACACGGCAGGCAGGGTCGCCAGGGCCTTCCTTCTCACCCCTGCCCCTACCACCTGCACCAAACGATCCTTTTCTGAGCCTTGGTCTCATCTCAAACACAGGGTAACTGTGACCTCACGGCACCGTGAGAGTTAATGGAACGTTTCAGGCACAGCAGGTGCCTCTCCCTTTCAGAAAGAATCTGCGCTGGGGGAACCTGTAGCCTAGCGATGAAATGCTTCCCTCCTAGCACAAACGCAGCATGGCTCCAAAGAATGATCGTTGAGCTGTGCTCTGAACAAGGAGGTGGCAAAGGGTTAAAAATGGTCAGACCCAGACGCAGGTGCCCACAGCCCAGATGAAGGAGCCGGCTGACAAGGCTTTTATAAGCCAATGGAAAATACGCTGGCACTGCCTCCTGAGGAAAACCACCCGCCTCTCCATCCCTGTTCATCTCCCTCCCATGTCCATCGCCAGGCACCGGGCTGCTCTTCTGGGCTGTGTCGGGAGCCAACCCTCTCCCCTCGAGAGCTGCTGAGCTGTGCAAGCCCAAACTGGTCTAAAAGGGAGCCTTCCCGGCAACGGGCTCTGCCTCCAAACGCCTCCCAGGTTGTCATTTCTGTTCTCATCTGTCTCCTGAGCCAGGGTTGCCTCAGGCTGCTGCTTCCACTCTCACTCCATCAGCCTGCCCAGAGGGGACCTCATCCCCAGCTGCTTCAAGTGCTCCCGTGGCTTTGCAGTGCCCCTGGAACAAGGCACAGAGCCCTGCCGTGGCGCCTGCAGACCCTGCGTGACCTGGCCACCGGCCCAAACGCACCTCAGATCAGTGCCTGCAACCACGCCAAGCTCTCTGTCCTCAGGGAGCACCCTGGCACCTGCCTCTCCCTGGGCCCGAAGATCCTCCTCCTGGCCCTTCGCGTGGCAGCTCCCTCTCATCCCCTCCCCACACCGAGAATCCCCTGCAGTTGTTTTCTTTGTTATATCCTTACGCATGTGCCATTCATCATATGACTGCATGCACTGAGCTGTCTTTCTCACAGCTGCGCCCCTTCACCAACCTGGTACCACGGCTAATAAACAGGAGTTGCACAAGTGAATGAATGCTTGTCTTTAGGTCCTACTCCCCAGATAAGATCACCTGTTCAATCCAATTCTGGCCAGGAAATGAGAACTGTGTCCTTCCCTTGCCCCTTATCCAAGCTTCTCTGTGTTCCTCATTCTATGACTTGCGGCCATGCCATTTCGGGCTAATCAAGGAACCAGGATCTTGGACCGAGAGGTTGTATATCATCTATTTTTCCGGTATTTGTTCTTTGAGGGAAGGATGAGTGATGGGGGAAATTCATGAGTTATTAACACTTGGCTTGGAACATGTTTTATGATTTGGAGGTTGGTAGATCTAACTTCCCAGTTTGGTTTGCATCATAACACGATAATGACAGGCCCTCTGCGTATCGGGATGCGCCTGCCAGCTTTCCAAGGGCCTCTCTCACTCGAGAATCAAGGCTGTCCTGGGGGACAAAAGTGCAGCCCCAGGAAATGGGGCTCCGGCCCAGGCCGCAGTGAGCCGGCACAGAGCCAGGGCGGCACCCCTCTGGGCAACCAGCCTCCACGCAAAACAACTGATGAGTAAATAGAGAAAATGGGGTGGAAATGGGGCTACTCAGAAGAGGGGAAAGGCCAGACAATTCCTGGTTCTCTGGGTTTGCCCACCAGGCTGAGGCTAAAACCTCACTGCCAACAACCCACCGAGCATGACCATTACATGGGACTACTGGAGCTTAGCATCAGAATCTGAGTTCAAATCCCGCTACCTGACGATGTTGAGGAATTACTACCAACTTCTAAAAGGCAGCAGTGGTATCATGGTATGTCACACGCTGAAACATTTGTGAAGGAAACAATGCTATCTGGGATGTTTCAAACCCAGGGTGTGAGAAAGTGCATGGGGGTGGGATGAACTAAGAATAGCTGCATATTGGGCAATGTTGAAGTGGGGCGATAAGGTGTATGTTTTATATTTAACATAAGGAAAAAGAAAGACAGCTGGAAGCCCCGCCCAAAATGTGACTACGCTGCATGGGGTGAAGAGGGCCAGAGGGTCGGTGTTGGCCCTGGTGGGTCCCTGATCCCCGTGTGCCTAAATCCCCAATCGGCCTGCAGGGTCATTCCGTGAATCAAACCCACAAGTCACTGGGGCTGAGAACTGTCCAGCTGGCAGCATGAAGTAGCAGAGGTGGCTGCGGGGCGGCTGCTCGTGGGGCAGGAGAGAAGTGATGGGGACTGCCCCCGCCCCCAACACTGTCCCACGCCTACCTCAAAGTCATCTGGACAGCTCCTCTTGCTGTTGTTGTTATTTAGGTTTTCCCGGTTGAGCAGGTTTTTATCGAGCTGGGCTGGGGACCGCCCCCACCTCCCTACTCCTGGAGCTTCCTCCCTTTCCATCTCCTCCGCCTGTGGCAAGGGCCCGCTCTGGGCTTTCAGGCCCCCAAACTCCGGCTTCTTCTTCGCATCCTTCTCACAGAGCCCAGGGCCTCCCGGGGGAGGTCGGCCTGGCTTGCGCGCCTCTGCTGGCTGAGCAGCTTCCTCTGACAGAATGTCCTTCTCCAGGTCTTCCAGCTGGACCAAAGCGCCCGTTTCATCGCTGGGGGAATGCAGGAGGGGGTCTGAGAGTCGCCGGAAGCAGCAGGAGAGAGAGGGGCCCCCTCCTCCTGGGGCCCTGCTGTCTGGGAACGCAGGCTGGGCGGCATCGTCCAGGCAGGGCAGCCGGGATGCTGGGGTGTCATCCAGGGTCTCTGGCAAGAAGTCCCCAGACCCCACAAGGTCATCCGCAGGCTGTTGGAGGCAGCTTTCAGTCTGCTGGCGCCACAGCTTGTTGTGCCTTTGTTTGCTGGGGGAGGAAGGGCAGAGGAAGGTCATCAGAGGCCAGGGCCCAGAGGTTTCTGGGAAGCGGGGTGGGGGGGAGCCAGCAAGGGACAGCCCAGGCTTGGGTGGGTGCTGGGGGGCTCACTTAGGTCAAGCCTCTCTCTGTTCCTTTGTCCCCAAGAAATGAAAGAGTGAGAAAAACAGCACTGGAACTAAAAATCATCATGACCCTCAAGAGAAGCCTTAAACAACTTTCTGTCATGTGATGAGAATGTGGCAGACATGTGAAGGGGCACTGACATTATGATCCTAGCGTCCCACCTCATCTGGTCATGCCACTTGATGTCCCATCTCTGTTTCTCCATCTGCCAATATAAAGTTTTATATACACATATATTTATACTAATATGGCAATGTAAGCACATAATGCACATGAATAAAGTTGGGAAATTTTAGAAAATTGTAAATATTTGTTTAGGTCAAAGAGATTACAGGTCCATGTTTAAAATATGTCCTCTAATATTATGGTGTTGTTTTTATAATGCATTTTTAAAATATAAAGGTAACAAGAAAAGAGAAAGGCTTAGAGTGAAATAAGGTAAAGGAGTCACCTCTACAAACCTTACAGCAATACCACCATCAGGGAGTTGTGAGGGTTAAGATGAGCGAGAATTAATTACAAATTAAGGATCCGCTATTGTTCAATGAGAGGGCGCCGTGATCATTCATGACTGTTTGGTCCCTGTGCCTGTTCTGGGCGAGGGCTCTCGATGCAGCTGCGGTTCAAGGCCAACACCGAGCAGCTGTGAACCCAGCCTGGAAACCCCTGATTAGGCACCGAGGGCACTGACGGTAGCGAGTGACTGAAGGCCGACGGGACGCACACGCCTCCTCCTCGGCCCTGCCTGGGGATCTGTCCAGCCACCCTGTGGGTGGCAGTGGAGACGTGTGGAGCTGTCCTTGGGACCCTGGTCAAGCCTGCCAGGGTGTTCCTGCTTCCCCAAACATGGTCAAGAGGACAAGACTTAGCCTGGGGTTCCCTGGTCATTTCAACACCAGTCAGAAATAACCCAGGGAGGCCTCCTACAGACCTAACAGAATGGAAAGAGGGAGAAATGAGCCTCAGAGTCCCGCAGGGATCTTCCTGGGGTGACTGAGGACCCCTCCTCGTGGGGTAGGAGAACCTCAGGGCCGCCCTGCCTTGGAGGCCAGCACACCTGGGCATGTGCTCCCTTCTGCTCCCCACTGGGTCCGTGGTGTGGGGCAAGTTAACCTCTAGCATCAGTTCCGTGTGCCTGTATAAAGGGGGTAACCTTTATGCAAATCTTTTTGGGTGGGGGTTAGAAATTTATAAAAAACTACACCACTATTTCCTATGAGCCAGGTCTAGCAAAACCTCGTAAAGGTAAACCAGTACGGTATTCATGTATCTTACAACAACCCTACAGGTGGGTGCTGATTTTTAGCTCAAGAAAGAGAAAGGTGAGGCTGGGGGAGACTGACGAGCCTGCTCTAGGCTGCCCGGCTCGCCGGTGCGGGGACCCGGTCTGCCCCTGCAGTCCTCGGAACCACCCGCGGCGAAGCCTGGCACAGCGCTTCGCCCAAAGCAGATGCCCAGGAAACGGGGCATCCACGCGCCCATGCCGCACACGAAGTCCTGCCTTAGATTAGAAGTTAGGCACTGTTCTCTCCCGCAGCAAAATAGCTGTGTGTGCCAACAAAATCAGAACAGATCCCTCCTGGAAACCACTAATCAAATGCCAAACAATAGTTGTTTTTCTCCAACCGGCCCTCCTCGCCCTCCCCCCGAGTCGGGGCTCTGGCTGCGGGAGCCACGGCTGGACGCAGAGACGGCTTCTCGGGCTCAGTCTCGCCAGGCCTCTGCAGCCAGTCACCCACCTCGCGTCCAAGATGCCTTCATACTCAGACAGCTGTCTCATAAAGCCTGCGTTGGGGCGTGTAATGCTGCGCTTTTGCTTCACGTAGTTGTACGCTTTTTCCAGGGGCCAGCCGAATTCCTTCATCGCATAGGCTATGACCGTGGAAGCGGATCGACTGACACCCATTTTGCAATGTACCAGGCACTTGGAATGGTTCCGCCTGGGGAAGGGGTGGGAGGAGAGTTTTTAAAAAGCTTAACTTCATTCTCTCGGGTTTTACACAACGAGCAGTTTTAAAGCCTGAAGTTACGTCATGGCCCAAACCCTCCTAGTCCTGATGTTTACGCAGCCCATGTCCACCCCCCTCTGAAGGACATAACTTCACTGTGAAATCAGTTAGTACACAATGGGAAATCGAGATAAATCTGTCTTTGCCTCGCCAAGTTGTGCAGGGAGAGCTCCAAAGTCGGGCCGCCTTCAGGGACAAGTGTGGATCTCCCCACATCGCTGGGATGGGCTAGGAGGCCAAAAGCTCTTTTTGTGGGAAGCAAATGGGCAGTGAAAGAGAGATCTGCAAAAGATACTCAGCCAGAGCAGATGGAGACAGGCAATGGGTCACTGTAGAAAAATGGGGTCAGAGAACCGGAAGCCGCAAGGCCCACAGGAGACAAGAGGGTCAAGGAGCTGGGGCAAGGGCAGCGGCCCCGCCAACTTGGCCAAGACAGAAAGAAGCCAGGGGAGGGTGGGGCCCTAGGTTGTGAGCAGGCAGTGTGGGCCCAGGTGTGGCTGATTTAACAAATCCAGCAAGGCCAGACGCAGCGTTTCTCTAAGGCTCGCTTGCTCAAGAACGAGAGGGACAGCAGGTTGGAAAGGGCAGCATCTGGCAAGCTTGTTTGTGCAGGAGGCGAGGCCACCTGCCTGTTTACGTCAGAAGTAGCCAGCCTGCCAGGTGCGAGCAGACTCATTTCTCCTATCTCAGGCTGAAAATCATCACCAAATCAGTGCCTTTTTTTTTTTTTTGGACTGCTGGTCTGAAGGCTTTCCCTCGGGAATGCAAACTATGAGAACGTGTGGGTAAGGACAGGTTATGTAGCTTTGAGCTGGAGGGGCAAAGGGAGAAGACGGGGCCTCACAGGCTTCTCTCTTTCTGATCCTGACTGCACTTAGACAGAGCTGTTCTGTGGGGGAATAAAGGGAGGACAGAAATTGGGCAAAACTGTGAGAGGCTCGTGATCTGTCCCACTCCGCTCAGCCAGGAAAACCGCGCTCACTCAGGGGGCGAAGGCAGCCACAGCTTGGGCGTCTGCCCGAGTAGGCTTCCCCGGGGAAGCAGTCCCGGGGTGCCCTAAGGCCACGTACAGCCTGGTCTCCCTGCGCTCCCCTTCGTCTCAGAGGCTCCCCACCCGCAGAGCCTCCCGAGTGTCCACGTGGTATCGGATTCTCAACTGTAACCGGTACTGCTGATGAAACTGGGGTCAAATGTCACAGTCAACGATAGGCTGGAGAGAACAAGCTCATTTGGGCCTATCCTGGAGATCAAGATTTTGCCCCTTTGGCGCTAGGGGTCCTGTGGTCTCCAGCTGGAGGGCCATCGACACTCAAGGCTCCCTAAACCAGGAGATGCCTATGTCTGGGACTGTCATTTCTTGCTGCCCACCCAGCATCTGCCAGCATCTTTCTCAGACCAGTTTTCCTGGCTCCTCCACCCACTTACTTTGCTTTGTTTATAAAATGGTACGCTTCATTCCAGTGGGCAAGAAGGTCTGTTGTCTCTTCATCGTAGACTCGGATGTTGTGATATGCAAATAAGCCAGGGAAAAAATTATCTATTTCTCTAGTAACATTTAAAATGTAGTCAACACTGCAATGAGAAAAGAAAGCAGAGAACAAATTTGGAATCTGGAGACTCAGAGTGAGGAACTGCAAAACACAAAGTAACAAAAAACAGAACAAAGGGAAAAAAATCAAATATACATTAATAAAAGGTTTATGTTTTTATGGTAGGACTTCTGTTTTTCCTTAATAATAATTTTTGGGATACTTTTTAAATGCCCTATGATGAGAATGGATATTTATAATAAAAAACAAACTTCTTTATAAAAAAACTTACTAAAAAAATTGCGTTCAAAGCATTGCTCAGCAATATTCCTTAAATACATTTTTGAACTTTCTCAGTGTTGAAATTCATAACTACTATGTGCATACAGAGGTTGTTAAAAAAAAAGTCTCCACTTTTAAATAGTTAAAAAAAGAGACTAAATCTGTCCATTATTTATGTCCTTGGGAACTGCTTTATATCCTTTTGAAACAAGCTAGGCTATAAATAAAAGGTTGAGAGGGTCTGCTACCCAGGTTTTGTTGGTCTGTAAACTTAATACTTCTACTCCTGGAAGACCAGGAGTTTCAAAATACCTCAGAGAGATTTCACAAGTGACTGCATATAAATGCTTTAAATGAAAATACCTTTAAAATGATTTACTTATTCCCAGCAAAATAGGAAGCACAGACAGTATTATCCTACACTTTAAGAATACTTTCTGTTGAAAGAACACAACTTAACCAGTAGTTCTAAAGATGTATTTTAAGATTTGTTTAGTCTTGATTTTTAAATGCAGTAATTCAAGGATGCCATCATGTCAGACCCACAGAATGGTGATTTTGTGGCTGTGTAGTTTTTTCAAAAAAATGTCCAGACATCTGTTCTTGAAGGTCTAGATTTAAACATCTTTTACTCCTGCTGCTGGGCATTTCTCAGACTAAGACAGGCATACATTTCTGCCCAACACCAAGCATTTAGCTGCAAGAGTCCCACCAGGCCCAAAGGTGTAAGTCCAGCTCGAACCAGGAGCGGCCCAGGGATCAGAGTCGCTTGCTGGCCCGACACACAGGAACATCCACACCGGAACTCTCGGCAGCTCCACAGGGCAGGGGGTGGCGGGAGGGGCTCGCGGCCCTGCCTGCATCCAGGCTGCCTGTGCCACGGGACTGTGATTTAGGATCATTCTCTGGGACAAACACCATCACACAAACTCCAGGAAAATCTAAAGCCATGAATTATTCAGGAGGTGGCATTCTAAAGCGCATCTCTTCGGCTATGCAAATGCCCCTGGCGGCCAGGGTGCCGGCGGTTCCGGGCCAGTCGCTCCCAGGCAGGTCGCTCGTGGCCCGACCTCGGAGGCGGAGCCCAGGGCGTCTAAGCTGCCTGGAAGGACAAGGGGGGACAAGAGGAGCAGACTCACCCTGAGCCCTGCAGTTCCTCCAGATTGGATGCATTCCATTCAGAGCCCTGGGGGACAGATCACACAAACCCCCCGTGAGTGTCACATGTCAGCCTCAGACTGCTTGTGGGACGCTAGCCCTGATGGTGATTTCAGGGCCCGGGCCTCAGAGAACAGAGAGAACTGACGGAGCGCTACCCACGCGGGTGCCCGAGGCTCCAAGCATCGCCAGCACCACGGGGGAAGGGCGAGGCCAGGGAAACCTGCCCCTCTCACCACTTCCTCTCCTGAGACTCCAGCGGGTCCTCTCGCCAGAGGCAGGGACCCGTCCTGCTCAGGGGAGGGCAGCGCCACACTCCTGTGCTTCACGCTTCACGCGGGAATCACTCTACCTCTTCTGGGAAGTATGTTGGCAATATTCAAAAGGTCCCCACCCTCTGACCCGGAAATTCCACTTACAAAAAGCTACCCTGAGGAAATACCCAGAATTTGCAGAGATTTATATAGAAGGATATTTCAGGTTATTTATAATAACAAAAGGGTGGAAACAACCCGAAGGTCCAACAAGGAGAAATTAGTAAAATAAATGATGATGGATCCGTACGATGGAGCCATTAAAATAACTTATACTTTGGGAGGATATTTAATGACACAGGGAAATACCACATGACAAAAAAAAAGAAATTAAAGCAGGACACAAGCAGGACACAAACATAAAACAGTACGGTTCTTTCCTTTTCCTTTTTTAAAAAAGCTACATGTGCATTTAAAAAACCCAGAAGAGAGAAAAATAAATATACCAAAATGTTAAGTATGACTACCTCTAGATTTGTGAAATTGGGAATGCCTTTAATTTTCTTCTTTAGACTTACTTATATTTCCTAACTTTCTACAACATGTTTAGTTTAATACTTTAAAAATGGTATTAAAGAAAACAAGCCCTCCATTTCTGAGCATGCAAAGAACATGCGGGGGGCGGGGAACAAAGAAAACAAGTCACTCTGCTCTTAGGAAAAGCAAACAACATAAAGTCACGAAGAGCAAGAAAACCTGCGCAGCCTCCCTGTAAACTTCCTTTCCCCAGAGGGCAGACCCCTCAGCAGGCGGGGGCTTCAGGGACCCTGAGGGGGCTGGCTACGTGTGGGTGCTGGCTGGGTTTTCATATTGGAGGGAGAGGCTCAAACACAGAAATTCCTTTGGTATCTCTCATGGAAAAAGTGACATAAAACACCAACCACACCGAAAAATAACTAGCACTTCGCTGAGGCTGAGTGTCTTCTGGCCGTGGTCGCCACCTAGTGGAGGGACGGGCTGGGGAGCCTCTCGCTCTATCTCCACCAGGGAAAAACCATCAAGTTCCCAGAGAGGTGAGAGCCCAGGGCTGCCACGGAGCTTTCAAGACACAGGCTTCAAACCCACATATTTAAGTACATTTTAACACATACATTAAGTGTATATAGACTGATATCTATAAATACATTTATATTTAATTTATTAAATATGTATCATGACACATGCATTTGGAGGACTATTAATTACTCCCTACAGGCAGAGAACAAAATTGCTATGCCTTCCAAAGCAAATACACTTCCTAAACTTTCCCAGGAGGTGATTTCTGCTCTACCGATGGTTACCATTTACTAGTGCACTTGATGCCTTCAATCTGTATTTTATTGAATCTTCATAATCATTCCACGAGGTACAGGTTGAAGGAAAAAGAGGCAAGACCCACAGACCCAGCTAAGTCCAGTCACACTGCTGGTCCGGATGGGGACTGGGAGCTAGGTCCAGTGGGGCCGATTTTCATTACTACGCTATCCTGCCTCTAATTTTAGTAACGTGCCTTCCTCTACCGTCTCTCTTGACTTTGAAATCTTGCCAGTTGCCTTCTATGGAGATTTACAGCTTTAAGAAAATCTGAGCAAGGGAGGGCGGTTGCATCACCAAGGCCCGGTCTGCGGAAGGCCCTGGGGGCCGTGCGCGGCTGCCGGCACAGGCGGGGTGGGGGGGCGGGGAGCTGCCCTGCAGGCGTCTGGTTTGCCTTCCCTACCGTTTCTCCTGTCTTGGGGTTCCTAGGCACAACTCTGGGGTCTGCTCCCTGTTACTACAGCGAGCATGCTCCCTGTAGTAACTGGGGACTTTCAGCCCACAGACCATTTAGAGGGATCTGGAGGGGGTTTCTGTGTTAGTGACGGAAGAAGGCGAAGTGGGGCAAGAGCCTGAAAATGGCTGCCAACCGACTGTGCCAAAGAACTTTCAAACAACGCCCTGCAGCCCAGCTGGGAGCCACATCGCCAGCGTCTGGCCCAGAGCAAACCACGAGGCAGCAGGCCTCAGGGGGGGAGTTCCCGTGAAAGTCAGGATCGAAGCACAAGTAACTCAGGTTTTCCCCTGAACTTGCTCTACACAATCAAGGTCAAATTGACGTTCCCCAAGCCAGGCCCTGCCATGTGCTGTGCCTCTTACAAGATAAAGATGATCGAAGATGAGGGAGGGCTTGTCCATCTGTCCCAAGATTAGTAGCATCTCATTGTCTATGAATTCCTTGAATTCTTTCAAGTTACAGTTCATCTGTTTCTCCAATTCATTACGGATCTGTGGAGTAGAAAGCATCAGGAAAAGTGATTTGTCAAAGAAAACACTTTTTGCCCACAAAGAAGTAAAGTCACAATGCAAACTGTGGCTCTTTAAAAAAAAAAAAGATTTATTTTGCGTTTAGACACACATGGCTCACGGGCACGGGAGGCAGGAGCACAGGCTACTCAGCCTCAAAGTAAATCTGACGTGGGGGCAGTTTACTATTTCAAATGAGAAATCTGATTCCCATGGGATCCCGTCTGAGTTCAAAGCACTTATACCATCACAATTACATATCAAACACATTATGGTGAAACCCAAAATCAGTTTCACCTTGCTTTGGAAGGTATCACAATATGATGTAGCACATGTATTAATAAATAAAAAGATTGTATATAACTTAAAAATAGCCATTTCAACCTCTTAGATCTACTTGGTTTAAGCTGTTATTACAATGCATTGCATTCCCTGAACAAAAAGCAACTGAAAGAAGAAAAAAGGATCCAGAAAAACATCAAAAGGCAGAAGGAAAGCAGCCCAGGGTTAGCGATATACGGGCGAGGCCATGCGGGGCAGAGGAGGGGGTGCTAACAGGCAAATGCTTCTTGGTGCCATCTACACAGAGGTCTCATGGAATTCTCACTACAGGTCTCACAGGTGCAGAGCCCAGGAAATCTGCCCAAGCCTCATTGCTGGCACATGGCAGGCCTAGGTTCAAACTAGAGTGCTACCCTAAGGCCTGTTCCCCTTTCTCTAAGTCCTGCAGGAAAAAGCCACCAAGAGCTGGTGCACTGATTGGCCAAGGCCAGGTTTGGGCAACCAGACGGAGGCGTGACCTCTGGCCTGCGAGGAAGGGAAGAGCTCTCTTACTTCTTTGGAGGTCACATTTTCTAGGTCCTGGCTCATCATGATGCTCCGGAGTTTGGCTTTGATGAGGCGCTCAGTCCTTTCCCTTTCGGTCGGCCTGGAGAGAAATTAGGAAAGTGCAGAGCTCTAGGAAGATTGGGGTGGGAGTTTACAGAAACACCCAACGCGCCTGCGCTTGGTTCACAGAGACAACTTCTTCGCGCGCATGTCCTCAGCAGGTGAGAGAGGGACAGAGAAGCCCTGCTCGGTGCTGAGCTCCCATAGGAATCAAGAGCAGAGCAGATCGAAGGGGCACAAGAGGGGCTGGGAGGCACCCTCTTCGTTCAGGTCCCGCAGGGCATTGGCCTCTGCGGGCAGGATGCTGGAGCCGCGGGCCCTGCAGTCTCTGCAGGCGGCACGGCCAAGGCCGGAGCCAGCCCGCAGCCCCGGCTGTCTCCGGCGCCCAGGATCTCCTCTTCATAGGCACAGAATCCCCGTGTATCTCCCTGTGACTTCCATATCTCAACCCCGGTTTTCACTTCAGGGGCCACACGAACGAGGCTAATCCTTCTTCAACCTGACGCTCCCTCATCTGTTCGAAAGCCGCTGTCGTTTCCCCCCCAACCCTCTCCTAATTCCTGTGGAGCCTCACATAAGGGGGCCTTGGTCCTGTCCCGCGCACGGTGCGCCCCTGCTCACAGCCCTCTTAGCTGCGGTGTCCCCCACACTCTGTGGAGAAGGGGCCTGACCGAGAGGAGGGGAGAGCCACTACCTTCTTCGGGAACCAGGTTTTAATTTGGTGCAGCCTCTGGCCTCTGAGCACTGCTGGGAGCCACGCGACACAGGCCACGTGATTCACAACTGCTGCCTCTAAGGCTGCCCTCAGCCTGTGTTGGGGCAGCTGTGTTTTGGGACCCAAGGAATTGGATGTACATTCGTAATACTCCTAAGGGGCTGCCAGATGAGAGGGGGGTTGGGTGGCAGGTGAAAAAGGTGAAGGGAATGAGAGGTGCAGATGGGAAAACAGTCACGGGGAGGTAAAGCACAGCATAGGAACATGGTCAGCAGTATTGTAACAACCATGTACAGTACCAGATGGGCGCTGGAAACACCGGGGGGACCCCTTCATTCAATGTCTAACCACTATGTGGCACACCTAAAACCAATAAAATATTGAATGGCAATTGTCATTGAAAGACTAAAATTAAAACAAATAAAGGGTTGAGGAAGAGGCTTTAAAAATCAAGTCTATGGTAACCTAGAAGGGAGGCCAGACCACAGGGCACTGCCCGAGAGCTGGTGACGTGTGGGGCCACACACTCAAGATTTGACCGAAGCTGGGGAGCCGCTCCCCAGAAATGTACTCCCTCCTGATTTGTCTACAATTTCAAAAGTAGGGTGGTGATCAGAGGCCCTTCCCCTGGCCAAAGTCTACCCACAGGCCACAAGTCAGGAACCTCTGCAGGACAGGATGGTTCTGGGAGAGGCGGCCCTCAGGCAGGGGAGTGCGGAGGGGGCATGACACTGTGTAGACCCAGAGTCCGCAGAGGCACACGGGGGCGGGGCTGAGGCAGGCCGCACTCACTTGTCCACAAACAGGGCTGGGGAGTCGGGCCGCGTGGACTCCAGGTCCTGCATGGCGTTCCACTCGTTGATGCAGCTCTGCTCGGAGCTGATGCAGCTCTCGTAGTAGCTGGCCCAGATGAGAGCCACGCCCCCAGGGAAGTAGTTGTGCCTTCGCGCCACTTCGCAGGCCTTGTGAAGGACCTGCAGGGCAGACCTGGGGTGAGGAGGGCGAGAGGGTCAGGCCTGGGAGGCAGAAGGAACGCTGGGTTTTCCCCTTGACATGAGGTTTTTAAATGGGGCAGGGAAGGGCAGTTCATGAAGGACCAGCCCCTGGGGACGCCCAGCCTGCCGGCTGACACAGTCAGTCTCCGTGACTTACACACTGACCCAAGAACAGATGGAATATTCTCCACCATCCCAACAAGGAAACAAACTTCTAACTCTCCCCGCCAGGCCGCTTCACATATCATTTGACAGCGCACCGATTAACTCCCACGAATTAAGATTTACTTCTGAGGCTGTGGTCACCGTGAACACAGGAGCTACAATTACACCCAGCTGCTGGAAGGAGAGAGTCATTCCTATGCCGCGGAGACATTTCACTGCGTTCTAATCACTTAATTTCTAACCCCCTCTCAGCAATGTTCGAACAGCTTAGATTCCTAAGGAAAGGAGCTCTAAAAGTCATTTTAATACAGAAACCAATGGAAGACGACGCTTGGGAAGGTAGTGAGACAGGAGGGATGATATTAAAAATGTGTATCATAACGGTCAATTCAGTCATTCTTGCTTACTTCTTTTAACAAAAATATAGGTTGAAAATTTCTCAGTGAATGGGGTGAATTAGGTGTCAGTGAGGCGTGGAAGAGTGTGGCCTGGGGCAGGGGGAGAGTTATCAGAGAACGGCTCAGTGATGGTATAAAAAAATCACTGCGAACAACGTCATTTTTCCCGGTGGCACATACTGGTCCACTCTCTAGGCTGGTGGCGGGAACAAACTTGAGGTATTTACGAAATTTAGTTCTGGTTCCGAAGTTTTGGAAAAGCATGTAGGTCTATTTTTCACCTGCCTATAGAGAAGGAGATGAAAAAACAATCATCCAGGAATGCAAAGAAACATCTGGGAAATCCAGAAAATTATGATTTCAAGATCCCCCCCAAAGGGATTCTGAACTGACTACAGAGTGGAGTAAGAGAGGAGATAAAACGAAGCCCATGGTAGAATTCGGCCTAACCTCGCTGTCCTGGACAAAGAGTAACTATTGTGGAACGTGGGCAGAAGTCTTCTCAGCGGGGGCCACCAGCTTTCCCTGAGTCTTTTCCAGGTTATTCAAGAGAGACTGTGGAGTTCGCTGCCTGAGCGGTTTGTGCGAACCTCCAAGGGCGAGGAGCGCTGAGATGTGTGCGTGGGGGTCAGGGAAGCTCTGGACAGGACTTATTTTGCCCAACACAGCCCTGACCCACAGCGACCTGATCCTAAAGCAGAGAGTATGGGGAGGCCCCACCCCTGCCCAGGCCCCTGTGCACAGCAGCAAGTATCCCACAGCCCCGCACCCCATGAGAGTGCCCTCCCAGCACCCCTGGGTGTAACATGGCTTTGTTCTGTGTTCATAGCCACCTCCCCCTACAGACTTGAAACTCCATGCAGACAGGAATCATGTCCAAGATGCTCAGCACCCAGCAGAGTGCCCTTCCCTGGCAGAGAGGCGAATGCCTCCCGTGTGCCAGGCACAGTGCGACTTGTCAGGAGGAACTGTACGTAGGCAAAACAACACACCTTCCACAACAGAAGAAGTCAACCAAATTAAAAAGTGGCCAAAGGACAAAACAGACATTTCTCCAAAGATACACAAATGGCCAATGAGCACATCAAATGATGCTCAACATTCATTAGTTAGGGACATACAAATCCAAACCATAACGAGATACCACTTCGCATCCATTAGTGTGGCTCTTATGCAAAAAACTCCCCGCCCCCCGAAAAAACAGAAAATAGCAAGTGTTGATTAGAATATGGAGAAACTGGAATCCGTGGGCATTGCCGGTGGGATTGTAAACTGGTACAGCTGCTGTGGAAAGCAGTTTGGTGGTTCCTCAAAAAATTATACTTGAAATTGCCACGTCACCTAGAAATCCCACTTCTAGGTGTAAACCCAAAAGAAATGAAAGCAGAGACTCAAACAGATACTGTTTACCAGCGCTCACAGCAGCTCTGTTCACAATAGCCATACAGTGGTGACAACTCAAGAGTCCATCAACAAATGAATATGTAAACAAAATGTGGTCTGTCCATGTAACGGAATACTACTCGGCCTTCGGAGGGAGCGGCCGCTGCAGCGCGGATGAGCCCTGAAAGCATCAAGCTACGTGAAAGACGCCAGACACAGGAGGACAAATGATCTCACTCACGCGAGAGACGCAGAGCAGGCGGAGTCACGGAGGCCCAGCGGAGCAGAGGGTACCAGGCACTGGGGAGCGGGGGCTGGGAGTTAGCGTGTAACAGGGGCAGGGCATCTGTTTGGGATGGTGGGGAAGTTCTGGAGATGGACAGTCGTGCTGGCTGCACGACGCTGTGAATGCACTTAATGCCACTGAATTACACACATCAAAATGGTTACAGTGGTAAGGTTTGTTATGTATTGTTTGTCACACACACCAAGTAGATGTGCCTAAATGGGCTTCTAAGCAGAAGGGGTTTTCCTGTTCATGCTGTCACCGTGGAAACTATTTCCGAGGAGTTAAAAGTCCCTAAAACCACACTTACCACATGGCCTGGACAGACACAGGCTTGAAGACGTGCATCCTTCCTGCTGTGCTGACGCTGAACCCACTAAGAGTGAGAAAGAACAACAAAACGGTACCGTGGTGAGAAGCAGGGCCCTTTAACCAGGCCGCTGCGAGACGACGTGGGCAGGCCCGCCGGGGACACTCGGAGGCTGAGTGTGTCTCATGCTGTCTGACAGGGACCCCAGGCTGACTGTATCAGACAAGGGCAAAGCAAGGGGGGAAAACATGTTCTCAATTCCAGGAACCTTGCCTTTAACCCAGCAATGGGAGGTCTACAAAAGCCAAAACCCTGGCAAAGGGCGCACAGCAGCGACAGCACTAGACACCATCTCATCTGTGCCCCTGCACCGGTCCCCGCCCGCCTGCCACCTTCCGTCCCACAGAGCCCATCGGTCTGCTTTTGGTTTTTTGTTTGTCTGTTTTCTGAATTGCACTGAAAATATACTAATGGACGATACAATTTTAAAAAGGAAAAATATTACCCTAATCCAATGTCTTGAAGAAATCAAATTTTTATTTCTCCCAGCTCTATGAGGCAGCATAACTTTTACTGTTGGAATCCTACTAGGGACGATTTCTGATCCTGCGTCTTTCCACCCATCACAGAACCCGTGCATCTCCCCTGGGGACCAAAGCACGCAGAGCCTGACGGCCCCTCCTCTCGCATACCCGCCCAGGACCCACCAAACGGCTCCTCCTCTGCAGCCCCAAGCGGCACTCGCGACCCTGTTGCTCCTGTCACTGCATGTCTTTCCCTGTGCCCCCGAGACTGTGAGCTCCTGCTGCTGCCCCATTTATCTGGGAACTTCCGGGGGCCAGCCCCAAAAGGAGGGCACGTCCTGGGTATTCATTTACCCCATCAAGGCAAATGAATGAATGTCAGTGTACTGCTGCTCTTGAACTTCCCACACCAGTGATCTCCTGTAACAGGCTGCCATGGCGAACTCACGACTGCAGCGCCCTTGATCCAGAACGCCCCTTTCCTTGTGTGGCTCCCCAGAGGGCAATATTGCTTCTGCTGATAAACAAACGTGGCACACCGGTGATTCTGTTGCTAATGACTACCCAGTGATGCTCAAACCAACTCGTCTTTCAGAGTTTATAGTGATGAAAAGAATCTTTTGAAGGGGTATGCTTACCCGTCGCCATCGAGGTGGATTTTCGTGTCACTCCACAGTCGGAGAACCATCCCAATGGTACAGCTTTTACTGCGCGGGAGGAAAGAGAAGACGTCCGGGGTTAGAGCTCACCTGCTCGCACACAGGCTTCCCCGTGTCTTCCTGCGTCCCGTCCAGCTCACGGGGGACCGGCCCCTGACCCGGTCTGGCGCTGGGTGTGTCTGGGAGACACGCTGCAGGGACTGCTCACCCCTTAATTCTAGAACACGCAGGTCTGTGACGGCCCCATGCAGGGGGCTGCCTGGGACCCCTTCTTGGAGACAGTCACAGGGTCCTCTGACCCCACCGTCTGGTGGGGCTGCAGCTCCATAAACACCAGGTCTCAGCCACAGCTCTCAGGGGACAAGGAGCAACCAAATGACCCCGCGACCTCCCTGTAGCAGGGGTGAAGCCACTGAAGGCTGGCGCGCTCCGGGCACAAGGCCATACACACTCTGGGGGACACAGGCGAGTGGTGGCAGCCAACGCAGCCTCCTGCCCTGGGGTGAAGAAGGAGGGGAGGGTGCCAACACTATTACTGGAGTTCAGTGCTAGGCCTCTGTTTCTGTGCCTTTTGTGCAGCTGCTGTTTTAAGAACTAGCTTAATCTGCTTTTGTTTTGCCCATCCTAACAGTGAAGTGATACTTTAGAGACTGGCGCCGTTGAAACGCACAGAGGCAGTGAAAGAGCTTTATCAGAGGGGCTCCTCGGGTTATTACGAACATTCTTCAGGCATGTGAAAGAGCCAGCTTGTGAGAAACGGCTGTAGCTGAGCCAAGGCCGGCTCCACCAACCTCCAGGGATCTCCAGCTCACATCTCCGCTGCCACCTAACAGCCCGCCCGGGAGTAATGTTACGCGCGTGCGACTGAGGGTGGACAGGGCGCTCTGGGCTCGCAGAGCGCCTGCGACCATGCCGGGCTCCTCCACCCTCTGCTTCTGCATCTGTGGGGAAGGTAGTTTTAAGCCCTTCGGGGAAAACTAGGCTAAGCCTTTCACATTAGGCCAATTCTCAGGTCCCGCCCTGCAGTCCTACCCATTCTTGATGGGCTAATTGCATTTCCTTTTGCAGGGCAGCAAAATAAAATTTAAGACTCAGAACTCCTGGAGCTTCATGGACACGTCAGTGCTAGGGCGAGGCAAGGAGGGGACCCCTCAGAGCACCAGACCAACACGCCCCTACTCCTGACCTTGCCCAGCTGCCTACTCGTCTTTTAAGACTTGGTTTAGCCACCGCATGCTCCGGAGGCTTTTGATGTGGCCCCTTTATACCCACCCCCCTCGTGTGCTCCCAGAGCCCCCACATATCTGCATCCCTGAGCCCATCAGCCCGGCATCTGATTATGGCCCTCTTCTTCACTGAGCTTACAGGCTCCCTGAGGTCAAGAACTGTGTGTACTGTTGCTTCTTTGTTTACCTGGGCCTGGCCTATTGCCTCATACATGGGAGAATGCAAATAAATTGTTTGCTTAATGAATGAGTAGATTAATGAATGATGACTAAAGGGAGTCAACTTAGTCTAGTTTTAACAAATCCAGGCTTTGCAATGATCTCACATGTATTAACTTATCCTAGATGTAAGAAGAGCCGTTTGCCTTCATTTCACAAAAATAATAGGGCCTATGATAAAATGAACTTGGCCTCTAGTTATTGGGAAATTCCAAACCTCTCTCTTTAAGCCTCTGACCCAGGACCCGCCAGCTGGCGCTTGGGAATTCATGGGATAGCAATACTGGATAAGGCGCTGACTCACTGGCTATCAAGCACATGCTTCTTAAATGGGCCCGTCTGCCTGCATGGCATCCTCCCTGCTTCACTGGGCTGGCTCCTGCTTTTACCTGTGTCCACCACAGTCATCACCTCCTTCAGGAAGCCCTCCAGGCTAGGGTGCCCCTTCCAGAGCACCGCCAACAGCAGCCAGTGTTAGAGCTCTAGGCACAGAGTAAGTTTTCTGTCCTCTCAGCAGACCCTGAGCTCTGAGAGCAGAGACAGGGTCTAGCAGAGCACCCGCCCACGAGGGCTGAGACAAACTGTGCTCTGCGGTGCCTGATCTACCCCGCCACCTGCTACCACGCATCCCACCATCAGCTCCCAAGGCTACGGGACCCCAGAGATATTTTTCCAGCAGCAACTCTTGTCCATTTGTAGAAGGGAACCACCGTCCCATCAGACTCACCTTTCCTTACTGGAAAAGTCGACTCCCAGCAAGATACTCTCCTCCGTGTCCTGCCGCCCGCTGCTGTCCACCACCACCATGTACCGGACCCGCTCCGCCCAGGCGCTCTCCAGGCGCACGGCCTGCGTGGGCAGAGATGCTTTCACTGGCTGCCTCTCCAGCCGGTGCCCCTCCCGCGCCCAACCACGGCCAAGGGCTTCTGTTTTCTACCTTTCCTCCCGTGAGTTTAGGAATCAAGATGAGATTCTTAGGCACAGGAGCCACATCCCTCTTACACCCCCAACACGAGGGACAGGGCCCGGCTCAGAGGAGACCCCCTCCCCAAGTTTGTTAAACGGGTGAACAGTAAAATCCAGAGAACGAAGATGCCCACTTAGCACAGACTGATATAGAGACCTGACACCCAGGAGGTCCTTTCTCTGGACCTCCTGGGTACTGAGGAGCCAACTTCATTTTGGCTTTTGTGAACAATTTGGGAGAATTTTAAAATGTAGAACTCATACCCACCCCACCCACACCACAACCCATTGCTCAGGAGTAATTCCCTACCAAATTTCACAATTAAAAATTAAAACTTGCCACTCTTGTCTCTTCTTACCAGCTTGATTCTATCTTCACAACGCAGAAGATTGATCATTACTTGAAGATGTTGGGGCAAGTCACCTATTGGACCAACGAAGGAAGTTTGAAAAGGTCACCCTCCGACTTTCTAGGCAGAAACCTATGAGAGGCTGATCTTAAGGGCCTGGAAGAAGAGCTAGACATTAAAACGTCTCTATCCCCATCACAGCAAAAACATCCCCAAAACACAAAGCCTCAGTTTCCCTTACTCCGCTCCTGAAAAGGATAACGAGCAAGAGTGAGATACAGCTTTTTGCCCTGTTTTTAAAAATGACTTTTGTTTTCCATGATACTTGCTATATGGGTTTTTAAGTACAAAATTTGGCAAATACAGACAAGCCTGGAGTGGAATCATGATTAAATTCAAGCAAACATTACTGTGCAGGGTAGGGCGGCAGAAACTAAGGACGCGGCTGGAGGAGGGGGTTTGCTAAGAGTTGGTCTGGAGGAAAAAGGGCTGGGCGCCACTTTTCCTCTTTCAACTCCTCCGCATTTTCCCTCAGAGAAAACACATCCATGGGCAGAAGGGGAAATGACTAAGTGGCTCTACAGACAACAGGAACATACTGTGTCCCCAGAGAAATGATGGCAAGCTGTCACTTTCTTATTTCCTTGCTAAAAATTATACCCCACTCCCCACCGCCCCCCACCGCTATTTAGAAGAGGCAGGAATCCAGGGCCAGGTAGCGAACTTCCCTGAGTGGCCCCTGGGCGCGGCAGCGCCCCCAAGTTGGAGGGCAGGGAGGTGGTGTGTCTCCCCGGCCCCGCGGGATCAGCCTGAGGGAAGACGAGCCGGGCGCTCAAGGCAGAGGGGCCTGGACGCGGAGCCTCCCAATTAGTAAGGAACAAGTGTGACTCTAACAGTGCTTTTCTAACTTATACATTTTTTAAAAATGTTTGCCTGGGTTTCTTTCTGAAGAAAAGGTTCATCTGTAAAGATGCTGATGTAGAAAAGTGCAAGGAAAACTCAGAAAAATCTGTATTAATTTCAATGTGTGCAACACCCTCAGGCAACGATTTTCAACCTTTTTCATCTCATGGCACACATGAACTAATTACTAAAATTCTGCGTTACACTAAAAAATGTCTTTTGCCGATCTGACAGAAAAAAGGGATAATGTTGATTCATTCACACCAGACGGCTATTGTGTTGGCTTCTGTCATTTTTTTTTGTTTGTTTGTTTGACAGTTTAAGGGAAAAGAGGTCAGTGCCCCTGGCTAAATAGACAGGTTTCTTGTGGCACCCTGGTTGAAAATTGCTGCTCTAAGGAAACAGAATTACCTTTTATTTAAAAAAAAAAAACCTTTACCCTATTGAGCACAACTAGAACCCCAGGAGGATCAATACATTGAAGTCATTCCTTCTGCAAAAGCAACTTTTAAATTTTAGGGCAGGTTGATGTAGGCCGTCCAAATTGTACTTCCTCCCTCAGAGAGGAATCAGGTCATTAGAAAACTGCCCCTCACAAAATAAACCAACAAACAAAATAGAAACAGGCTCATAGACATAGAAAACAGACTGACAGCTGTCGGGGGGAGGGAGCTGGTGGCCCGGCGAAAAAGGCGACGGGATTAAGCAGCACAAATAGGCAGTTACGGAATAGCCACAGAGACGTGGGTTACAACATAGGGCACACGGTCAATGGTATTGAGATAAACAGGTACGGGGCTGGGGGACCCACTCTGTAAAGCACACGGTTTTCTACCCACTTTGCTGTACATCGGAAACTAATACAGAATAATTCTGAATATAAAATATTATTGAAAAAAATAGAAAAAGAAAGCTGCCCCCCGCCGCCCCCATCTGTTCTCTCCATTACAGGCCCCACAGTGTACACTACTCTACATTGGCACCACCTTCTATAAGGAGTGACGGGGGGTTCAGGACTCACATTAATGATAATGGCTCCCCATCCCCCTGCTCTACCTAAAGGCACTCTCGCTTGTCACGTCACCAAGGCCGCAGTGGCTCACAGCCACCACGGCCGGTTCTTGGCTTGCCTGGGCCCCACCGCCACCCACTCTGAGTCAAAGCGCACAAAGGAAGCAAAAACCAGCCAGTGTCAGATGGGCACCCAAATCAAAGGGACAGTCTCTATACAGAGAAAGAGAGAGAGAGAGAGAGAGAGAGAGAGAGAGAGAGAGAGAGGAGAGAGAGAGAGTGTGTCCCTTGAGTGGGACCGCTTGTGGAGATGCGGGATCGCTTGTGGAGATGCGGGACCGCTTGTGGGGATGCGGGACCGCTTGTGGGGATGCGGGACTGCTCACAGGCAGGAATCCCCACCCCAGGGTGGCATCCACACAGTCTCCAGATGCTGAAGCGTTCACCAGGTACTTGCAAAAACCTCAGAGCATATAAGCATAAACGTTGGCCCTAGGAAGAGTCTCAGATGGACTGGACTGGCTGAAATGAACTGAACTCCTTTGACACAGACAGAATTAACCCTCAATTGTCCTCGGCTCTGCGTGGCGGTTATGGATGGGGCTGTGGGTCATGCGGGGACGGTCAGCGTTCCCTCCGCCTTCCTGAGCTCACCAGCCATTCCACACCCTGGGGGAACAGAGCCAACGGGCCGGTGGCTTTCTTCCTCCTCTCATGTACATTCAAGAAATGCGTGACCCAGGCTGACTCAGGGCTTCTATAAAACGGTTCTGCACTTCCTCCAGCTCTCACACGGCATGAAAATACCCTTTGACTCAGAGGAAGGAGACGTTTCATACTGCGTGGACAAAGCTTGAGCGTTTGCTTTGTTGTGTGTATTATGGTTAAGACAAAAACAACGGTTAAATTCCTAACAGGGCAGAACCGTTAGCAAAGTAAAGGCTCCATGTGTAGGTTTATTGTACTAGAAGTCATCGCAGCGATCAGTATCCGCTGAGCACCTGCCAGGAGGTAAACAGGCGACCTGTGTGAACTTTGAATTCTATACCCTCCGAGGTTCTGGTGGTGAGCACCCGCTGTAAAGACTAGCAGACTTTACAGACTCTTGAGGCTCGGAGGCAGGCTGCGACAGCACCGAACGCTGCGGAACTGGGATCAGAAGCCAGGACTGCCCGGCTCCGAAGCGCATGTTCTTTCCTCAAACTACAATGCCTCCTTGTGCAGGACAACTGTTTTCTTGGCTTAAAATAGACTTAAATCTTGATTATAAATATCATTATGTGAAAATATTGATTGAGTCTTGGTGTCTGCTATAAATCGCAGGATAGGAAATTCTAATCTAGGCACTCAGATCCAAAAGGAGGCTGGATGGCTTGAGGTTAGACAAACAAAGGATCAAAGGGACAAGAAAACTGGCCTCAACAGCTACTTGCTTTCGCCTGTTGTCCCAGGAGTCGGAGGCCCTCCCAGCTCACATTCAGATGCGCGCTGCCTGTCCCAGAAGCACCTGGAGAGGCTGTCTGCCTATTACAAAGATCAACTTGTACACAAATATTTTCTGAATTCTCAAATTGCCTTGGTTTCAGAGTCAAGCCACCAAAGAAAACCAGGCTTTTTACCTTATAGGCATTCCTTATTTGTTTGCTTTTGAACCTAAAGTAGTCCTAGGTTTGATCCCTACTTTATCACTTCCCTACTTCCCCGAACCAAATGCACCATAAAAAATAGAGACATGCCATCTCAGTGCGTGCCAAAGGATTGTAAATGAGTTCCCCGAACAAGGCCGGCTGGAGCTCTCTTTGCATTGTCACAGTAATACATCCTGTTACAGAGAATTTGGAAACTGGGATTTAAAAACCTTATTACCTATAGGCCCAACACCCAGAGACAGCAAGTGGTGTGGCTTTGCTCAACGTGAAGAGCAGTTAGTACTCTAGGTGCATGCCGGCCCTCGGGGCCCTCTGCCCCGGCTGAATGCGGCAGGGTTCCCGAGCCCCCTCCATGGGCGTCCTCTATCCCCAGCTGGGGGGGCGGGAGGAAGGGGGAGGGATACACAGCGTGGACACGTGTCACTCTGTAAGGCTAGGCGGGTGAGCAGCTACTCACGTCAGATGTTGTCACTATATTTTGTTTCTTTCTAGATGGTCTTGGCAAAGTTTAAAAATTGCTGTTTTTTCATTCCATTGCCAAAGGAGATTTTTTTTTTTCTTTTGGTATCAACTGTTAAGACTAGTGGATTGTAGAGAACATGAAAAAAAAACCCAAAAGAAAGAAAATCTCCCAATGAGAATTTTCCAAATGCTTGGAGAAATGACAGCATCCCCAGACTAGGTCCATGGCACCCCAAGGTGGCCGTTTTCAAGGGGGCAACACCTGGCTAGAACGCCTTCTGGTGCATCTGCTAAAGAAGTCATACTACGACTCAAAACATGCAGTTAACTGATAAACTCCGAGCAGGAAATCTTTGTGATAAGGTCCAAACCGAACGCTACTGACCACCTTACTTGTGGGGCAGAGACAGATGCTCACAAGGGTCGCCTAATACCAGAGCCACCTGGAAAGCACATGTGGGCCACCTGCTCAAGACAGGGCTTCTCCCCGTACCAGTGCCTACAAGCCTGGCCCTGTCATTTCTCTGGCCTTGAAAACCAGCAGACAGCTCATGACCAGTCTCCTGGTTGGGAAGTTCCTCTAGCAGCAGAGAAAATACATTGCAATGTGAAAACATCATGTTACCTGCGTGCTTGTGGGGGTGCTGAAGACTTCGCTGGCCTTGAGGGCTGCTCCCCTGTTGTAGGAAGAGGGCTGCTCCTTTCACCATGAAAAAGCTCTCACTCACGCTGGGGAGAAAAAAACCCAAGCACAGTTAGGCTGGAATTCAGAGAGGAACATGAGCCAAAACATGCTCCAGAGGCAAAGCTGGAGTGCGGACAAACAGCATATAAAAATCAAATGGGATAAAACAGCTTTTATAGAAACTTCACATAACAGTCTTTCTTCCCAAACCTTAGCTACAAGCTTGCTGCTGGAGAGTCTGCGTGATGAAATAAGGCTTCTGCTAAAACACCCAAGGTTTTACGTAGGCCAAGAGCCCTTTCCTGCAGGGTACTGTACAGGGACCGCACAGTACTACGATGTCTTCTAAAAATAGGGACAGACTCTTGATTTAGGACAGGGTGATTCACTTTGTGAATTTAAGTCTTGCTGTTGACCTCTGTTTCTGACTCCATGACTTCTAACAACTTGACCGCCTCTTGGTGCCTCCCTTTGAGGGAACACAAGGGACGGGAAATGACGCTTCCACCGTTTGTTTGCATTGCAAGGAAAGTCAGTGGCCGCTGGCCTGTGACGTGACTTAGTCAAGGTTGCTCCATCCGCTGTTGTTGCAGAAAACCTCAACCGGACCCAGGGAATTGTGGAGAAGAATGTGTCTTTGGTTTTTTGTTATTTCAACCACCAATAACATGTGCATTCAGCCTATAGCTTAAAAATTTGCAATTAAAAATTTTTCAAGATTTCCAAATGCTCCAAAAACTCTTTTGCTGAGCAGAAGTGAGGACTGTATAAATTGATAGACTGTATTATCTATTAATGACTATCAATACCCTTATTCAAAAATACCATCAACTCTGAAAACTACCCATAAAATATACCAAAGTTATTAACAGTATTTTTTGAGAGGTTGGACTACATATGATTATCTTCTTTCTGCCTCTTAGTATGTTCTAAATTGTCTACATTGAGCAAATATTAACTTTTTAAAAAGATTATTTTTGTTCGATTTTCAAAGTAATAGAAAACATGTACTCACGGTATAACAAAAACATTTTATTTGTATTAATTCTGTGAAAGAAGATCACAGTTCAAATTTTAGGAAACTGTAAAGATCATTAATTCAGTCTTGAGCAACCAATTAACACATAAATAATCTGAAGGGAAAAAATCTTTTTAAAAACCCCGCAGCACTTTTTTTTTTCTGTTTTAACAGAGAGAAAATCAATTCCTAATAAAAATACGTCTTCTGTAACATAAAAAAACAAGATCACCTTTGCCCCAGACACCTAAGGTGAGTAGTTAAACATTCTAACCCTGGAATAAAAAACTCATCTAAGGGATGTAACTGTAGGTGCTAAGAAAATTCACCATGCAGACTAGCATGTAACTCAGCAGATTCTGGAATGAGAAACATGGTTATCTTCTAGAATATAAGTCCATAATCAAATCTGTTAGTTTTTCTGGTTGATTCCCATGCTAAAAATAGTGACTGCTCAAATATCAAATAATAAGGCTAGGCCTGCCTCTCTTAATTGGGCCTTCGCATTACTGATACCTGGCTTTATAGATTTTATAATGCCAATACTTTACATCTGTACAACACTTCTTTATTTATGATCGCCAACGTACTGCCAAGCCGTCCTTCCCGCTTATTAGTCATATGTTTATGCTGCACGTTCTGAGTGTTGAGGAGCCCAGGATGAGAGATGATGGAAGAAATGAGGAGCATCCTTTCTTTGCTGTCTCCCTCTCACCCACGGAAGGCAAGCGGCGCTTCAGCACTCTCCTGGCCAATGTGAAATCCAGGTTGTCCTAATTTAGCAGGTGGCTGAATCACCCATCACTTTTCGACCCTTCCAACTTGTCACCCTCTCCTTCCTTAAAATTTCAAAACCGAGTTTGTTTCCAGAACTGTTCTCTTTTAGACACAGATTGCTCACTACTTATTCTCAGCAAAGCCTCCAAGAGCTGCCTAAGGGACTCCAAAACCCATGAAACTTAACCATCAGTGCGTCGAAGCCACTGGGGAAAAAAAATCTTTTCAAGGCAACGTCAGCCTCTTTTGTTCATGAGTTTAAAAAAAAAAATAGAAAAACAAAAATCCATACTGACCAGAAACCCGAGCACTCTGGAAACAGCCAGCCATTAACAGTGACCTTTGCCTTGGAAATCATGGGTGAAAATTCCCCTTGGTTTCCCTTACACTTCCTTTGGAAAGAAAGGGGAACAATGCAAAAGAATGGGCTGGCTTTACCCTGTGATCACTGACAAGGCCAGTTGTTCCTCGGGGTTCCTGAGGCTGATAAAGAAGCAGTGCCTCCCATGCACATGTGAAGTCCGGGGGCTGTGTGGACGGCCCGGGAACACTTTGCCTCTGTCCTCCTCCCAGCAAACGGTCCGGGCGTTCACTGGAAAGAGTGAGACTGGGAGCTGCAGGGAAGCCCAGAGAACACATTATTCCAAGCCGGTGCCATCGCCCTGCGCCTGGGGAGACAGTGAGAGGACACGGCACAAGGATGGCCACACAGGATGCCTCTCGGGGCCAAGAGGCCACAGAGCAGGGGCAGTCACAGGAGTTATGTAAACGAGATGCAGACATTCTTCGTGACCCTGTTTCCTGTCCTCTGCTCGTAGCTCACGGCGCCCAGAGGCTCATGCACGCTCTGGGCGGCTGACGCGGACACTGCCTCCCGCGGCCAGTGTTCCGTGGGGCTCTCAGCCAGGCTTCTGACACCCAGAGGCGCTGCGCCCCGATTCATCGGTCTCGAGGCACCCCTTTGGGGAAGGAAGCCTTTCACAAACCCACCTGGGCAATGGCACACACACTTTCCCAGCTGCTCAGGGCTGGGGGCACACACCCACACACCAGCCACCCGGCTACAGGACACCAGCCCTCAGCTCAGGGACGCTGGGGTCCCTAACAGAGCGACTAGACCTCCTGAAGGTCAGACCCAGACAAACTAAACCGAACTGTCTTCCTTCGTCGCTTTAAGAAAAATCTGGCATTCAAAACAAAGCCAGCCCCTGCCCTCCCGACCCCCTGCCTCAGCGGTGTTATCTCCAGAGCACAAACGTGTTCTCAGGCACTGGCTCCTGCCGTTTCAGGAGGCGACGCAGGATTGACATTTCTACAACGCGTCGAAGGCAAGAACCTCAATCGCTGCTCCTCCAAAAGTCCCAGGCCTCAAAGCACGGACGGCCAGGCATGCAGACACCGCAGCGTGGTGGGAGGACAGCCTGGCGGCGGGGATACGCACTAATTTGGGTCGGAAACCTCTGAAGAGCAGAAGTGAGGCGGTGGCAGACGGAAGATGCAGAAGTCGGGAAAATAAAAAAGGCTCAGGCCTGCCGGGGTCACATGTCTCGCTGCCCAGGTCCTGCCTCCCAATCCCCCCGGAGAGAGCAGAAAGGTGAGGGAAAGGCTGGAGTCCTTCCGCGAGGAGCCCTTGTCCTTGGATGATGTCCCCACCCAGAGAGCAAATGGCTCTTGTGGAACTCTCGTCTTCCCCTGATATTTGGGTTGAAAAGGCCCTTGTCCCTGCGTATCCTGATGAAAGAGGGCCATTCAGAGGGAGCAGCGCAGCCCAAGTTCCTCTAATCGCTTGCCTCCCACGGCTGTTTCGGCCTCAGCAACATGCGCTAGGGTCTTAGAAACCGTGCGGGAAAACAGCTGGCCGTCCAGTCACAGACCCCAGGCCACGCAGACCCCATGCTTGTCGCCATCGACATATTGAAGGATTTCCAGTTTTTCAAAACACGACCCATTCACCCAACACTGACCGCAGGCAGCTGCTGCAGTTTCTTGGTGCTTTCAAAAGCACATTTACATTCTGGAAATTCTTCAGTCATGCTAATTGCTACTTGAGGAGGCAAGTCCAGGGAGGGGGCATTCCAGGTAGAGAGACCCTGACCTGCACACACAGGAGCTTGGAGAATTGCACACAAGGTGCTTAGGACAGGACAGGCAGTACAGGTAAGCGAGCCCAGGTCCTGCGGGGCCTGGCACAGGACCCTGAAGCCCACCCGGCAGGAGCCGGCCAGGAGCTGTCTGTTGTTAGCACTTCTTTCAGCCAGTGAAATAAACTAAAGACACAAATAACCATAATGCAGGGCAGAATGGGATCCGTACCATATGAAAGGAACTCTGCTAGTGTTTCAAAGAGGGAAGAGAGAGCATCTAACTGGTGGATTTTGGAAGTCTTCACAAAGGAAGCAGCACTGAGTAGAGGCTTCTGGGAAGGTCTTATGTGGAAGCTTCCCCCAGCCCCCAAATCCTCACAAAAGGATCAAGTGAAACACACACTACAATTATTCTTACTTTGCAGCTGAGGAAACCACAGCTTGCCCAGGAGCATACATCTGCACAGGATGGGACTAGCTAGACCCAAGTATGTCTGCCCCACGCCCGCCCTCTTAACCCCTGCAACGCCCGCTGTCCCTACCTGCCCAGACTACTGACTGCGGGGTGGCTGCTTTGGCTCTGCCAAAGCACACGCCACTGAGAGGTCAGAACAGGAGCTCGCCTTCAGTGCTTGCTCCCAGCAGGTGAAAGCGTGGTTTGCAGGGAAGAGAGAGAGGGGTTCATTCAGGGAGCCGGCCTCTGGAAGACAAGCCTTGGTGTTAGAGCTCTTTCTCCGGCCCTGGGGACAAGCAGAAGGCTTGGAGGACCGCCCCTATCACCCTGCCCCCAGGACACATCATTCGGTCCTTCTGGTCTGAATGGGAACCCTGAGGAGTTCTGTGGGTGGCATGGCCACGCTGGCCAGGCTGCTTCTCATCAACAACACTGTCATTACCAGGCACCGGCCACATGGCAGAAACTGTGCCAGGCACTTAGCTGGGCCACGCCGCGCAGTTCCCACGGCTCGGAGGGGCAGGCACGGTTTTCTTCATGTGACAACTGCAGGAAGGCGGTTGAACTCCTGAAAGTCTCTAAGACAGCCAGGGAAGCCTCCTGTTTAACTCCCGTAGTGAGTCTGGTGCACACTGCAGTTTAGCAAAATAAAAATACGCCAGTCGGGGTTGTGATTTACATTCTACTACATGTATGTTTTGAGAGTCACTC